GTGGGGCGGGAGGCGGGGCAGCTCCAGCAGGGAAGGGCGCGGGGGCGGGCGGCTCTGGCGGCTCCAGCAGCGACCCGCAGCCCGGCGGCTCCAGCGGCGAAGGTCGTCGTCGGCGGCGACCAGCGCAGCCAGGGGCGAAGGGCGGCGGGGAGGGGGGAGGGGCACCCGCGGCCACGGCCGGCGACTCCAGCGGCGAGCGGCTTCCGCGGTTGCACCTGCGGCGAAGTGCGGCTCCGGCTGCACATGTTGGCCCGCTGGCGCCTGAAATATGGGCCCGGCCTGGCAGAAACGTGATTAACCGCGGCGAAGTGGGCGGTTCCACGACATGGTAGTTTTTAGTCATAGATTAGCAAAAAAGTGGTAGTTTTCGGGATAAAATCGTAAAGTGGTAGTTTTTCGTCACGGTTCCGTGAATTGTGGTAGTTTTTGATTAAATACTCAATTTTACGCGAGCTTCCGCCGTCCCTATGTCCGTCGGATGCACTCTTAATCAACCATGGAGAGCTAATCCCTTCGTGCCCACTTTCTGCAACTGGTTCATGTTTCAGAAAGGGATTCTGAAACTAGCCTCTTGTTGCAAACCGTCCAGCGGCTAGATACTGCTGCAGCTCGCACTAGGGAGGGCAATTTTTTCTGCAACACGAGACCTATGTTCAAAAAAAAAAGAAAATCCCGCAATACAACCTATGTTGCAAAGAAAAAATGTTGCAAATGTTTCCGCAACAAGACCTTTATTGCAAAGTAGAGAAAGGCGTTTGACTGGTAGATTATATCAAATCCAAAGGCTTGCGAGCCGGCGGGTGGCGGATGCGTAGCCGTCCCCATATATTATTATACATACTTTCAGTTAAATAAATATTTCATCTCATTGGGGCTTTGTTGGGGGCCTTGGGGCTTTTGAGCGGGGCTTCTACAGGAAAATCTGAGCCCAAGCCCCCAGGCCCAGCCCAAATGCTGGGCTTTTGGGCTCGAGTCATCATAATGTGCTACCCATGCATAGGTGTGTAATCAAATGTATTGAGAAGCTTAGGGCATCTTCAATGTGGTTCACCAAACGACCACCTCAAATGTCCGCAGACACATTCGGACGTGCCCGCGGATAGTTGTGGCCCTCCAATGGTATCACTCCTTTACGGATTATGGGTTATGACTGACAATGAACCAGGCGGATCATGAAGGTAAAGAAATGAGTGGGACATGTGGGTTGCAGTCCAACTGACGGTAGGCCTGGCGAACGTCCGGAATCCCGTGGATTTGGTTCTGTGCTCACTAGTAGAAAAACCCTCATTCGCCCCGGTTCGTGAGCACAGAACCAAATCCACGGGAGTCCGGACGTTGGGAGGTTTTGTAGGGTTGATTTTGAAGGAAATATGCCCTAGAGGCAATAATAAAGTTATTTTTTATTTCTTTATTTCATGATA